ATTTCACAATAATATTAAGTTTTTACACTATTTTTTGATAGATTTTAAGCATATCTTGAAATATGACCCGAATCTAGTTCGGGTTGACTCTAATAAACAAACTTCTTATACTGGACAAAAATACTACGGAGTAGTACCTTCAATGCTTTTTGAGTTGTACAACATAGTACGGAGTAGATATATTTGGTTGACGTTTACAAGAAAAAAGTTGTAAAATCTTATAAGATAACTACGTAGTAGATAAGTAGTTCCCAAAAAATAGAGAATAATGTTGCTTACCTAGCTCTTTCAAATTTCACATCATAAAATTCAGTTGATTATATGACCATGGTTTGAACCCACTAATAACACCTCTTTGTGAAAATGAGTAGTAAATCCTTAGCTTGGACATGATATTATATATGCTCACTCACAACAATAGCTTCACGTAACCACAATACAAAACCATACTTATCACCCAAACGTACACTGAATTAATGAAAATTTTGTGAGAATTTGTTTGTTCCTTTGAAGTGCAATTTGTTAGATCCAAAGCTCCAAATCAAATTATAATGTGATCACAAATTCACAATAATATAATCAATGAAATATGTGGGAGTGTCCTAGTAATTACGGAGTATAAGAAATTAAGAATTACTATAATGAATAACAAGGTACGTCGTATTATAAATGTTCTATGTTGGAATGTATAGCCATTTTACTATAATATGGATATTAAGTTGAAACTCTTGTATACTCCACGATATATAATCAAAGGAATTATATACTTTGTGTCCTAAATCAATGACATAATTACTCAATAATGAAATCCTGTCTAATTTATAGATTTATCACTCCTCCACCCTCTCATTTACCCCTTCAATTAACTAAAGTTACAAGAAAACTTTGTACTTAATTAGCAATTAAGTAAAAAAAATCAATTTGGTTGCAATGTTAAGATCTTGGTCTTGGTAGTATGGCCTACAAACCACCTAGCTGTTTTGTTGAATTCCCTTTCATAGTGGACCTCGCAATAGTTAAAAGGCTACATGTCTAGTTTTGGTCCTCGGATTAACTTAATAAATGGCTAGTGAATTTGGGCCCTCCTTAATTATTGCTTAGGATTTGTATTATTGACTCCCTCTCTAATTGAGGTAGACTGGACAACCTTGTCACATTTAGACTTTAGAGACAAAATATATTCTCTTACATTGCTTCATTTAAGGTCTTGTATTTTTCGACTTATATGGACTTCTTTCATCCATTTGTTGTACGGAGTATGTTTTTAACATGCCCACAAATTTAGCAATTTTTGTATAAGAAACATTTTAAGTTTAGTTTATGTAAGTTCAGACAAATTAATCGCATAAAAAATAGACTTGAAATAGAGGTAATAATTAAAATTTTATTCATAATATGGATAATAAGTGATAATTTTTCCAAATAGTCAAAGATAATTGAAATTTCATCTAGATAAAGTAAATATGTTGCATATAGAATTGATCGTCAATGACCCATCTCATGTCCTAGCCCAATAAAAATGTGATTTGGGTAGTCTAAGAAAATATGGTTTGGGTAGTCTAGAAGACTAGAATTGGGCAGGGCTTTTAGGTTAAAAACCTTTTATGATGTTTGATTGAGTCTTATTCCATTTATATTTTGTTTGAAAGACAGTTACAAGATTTAAAACTTAAAACTACAAGCTCTCCTACTCCATATGTTGATTGAACCAAAATCTAAAAAATATATTTACTCCCTCTATCTCTTATTATTTGCTCCATTTAATTGAAAAACGTCTCACAAATTGTGGGTCTATGGTGCAAAGAAAAAGGAATTGAGTGAATATATAGCAATTTCATCTATTTTTTTTCGATCTAACACGATATTTTATCATGACTCAATGTTGACTCTTGGAAAAAGGAATTGAGTGATGCCAGGTGACATGTTTTTTATTCTAATGTTGACATATTACTTTCAAGGTGATAGCATTATATCCATCTTGCATAAGATTTGAAGAAAAAAGTAATAATAATAATAATAATAATAATAATAATAATAATTAAAATACTTGTAGTTCATCTATATGATAGGAGAAGGAGTTCTTCTCATATTGAAAAAAAAAATGTATGTGCTAGAAATCAAATAAGTTATGTTAAGTAAAAAGTACAAATATATATATATATATAAAATAAAATTAACTTAAGTGAAAATATTTTTCCTAAAGGAAAAAAAGAAGTAAATTAAAGAGAACAAAGCCATAAGTTAAAACTTATAATTGATTGATAGGGAAAAAAATGTTAAAAAAAATTAAATAAATTGAGTGAATTCCCTTAAATGATACACATATCCAAATATGAATTCCACACCCCTGGCCCTCCTCTCCTCTTTGTGGTTGAATAGTCAATAGTTAGCTATGCAACATTGTGGACAGGATATCAATAATTACAAGAACACACCCTTTCTTACCCATAATTGATTTCTTAATCAAATCATTAGACCCTTTTCTGATTAATTAATCATATTTTTAGAGTGTTGGTTACTATACTACCAGATTAGGTAGGAAATAGACAGAACAAGGAAGCTTAAATTTGGAACCTAAGCAAAGGTCACAATCTCACAATGTCATGTTTAGATATCCAAATCTAGCCTACTACTCTCTATTAGCAAAATAAAAAGTTAACTATATACCAATGTCAAATATTAACTAGAGTTAATGTTAATAATACGACCCTGCTACCCTAGTTCCTCTCCTGGTTTCGTCCTTCACGACAGCACTATGTACAATTTAAGGTGGACATAGGCCATGTCTTGTAAGCAAATGTGTCAGGGTCACTATTGTGTCAGTGTGCCTCATACTCAAGCGGATCATGCTTAAAAGTAGTCAAGCGTGTCGTGTTAATCTTTCATAAGTGAGTCCATATATGTCCAGACTTACATGTCAATCCGACCCATATCCAACTCTATATACTACGTATTTTAAAGCTTAAAGGTTCGGATTGGGATACTGTACAAAATAGCATTTGATCGAGTTGTGGTGCACTCATCAACAGTACAGTAATATATTGGGTTCTCATCATAATTTTGTGTTAAAATTATAGACAGGACGATGCAATAGTCAGTTGTCAGTAGTATTAAGAAAGAATAGGAGCAGAGACATGTGCAAGTAACAAATATGCATGTGTCCAGCCGTATATCTCATGTGGTTGCAACCTGCAATGCAACACTTGCTTATTGGATTTTGTCCTTCATTTTCCAACCTATCCAATCGCTTCTTACTTCTCAAGGGGACCTAAGGATGCATGGGCTACCATCAACTAGTCCTTCCTCCTTCCGAAAGAGATTTACTTGTCGTATTTGTCGCATTGTCTTAATCCTTAAAATAAAAAATAAAAATTAATACTTTATAAATATACTGAGTACTCCATAGAGTCCGTACTTAAATTGGATGTATTATACGGAGTATGAAATATTGGTTCCTTAAAGAGATTTGCCAAAGAAAGCTTGAACTTCTTAAATCTCTATAAGTTTACAAATTTCATCGTGTATAGCAACATTACTAGTACTAGGGATTTATATAGGGAGGTGTTTTAGCCTCAATTAGCATTGTAGTTATTGGGCAATTATCTTAAAAAACTTGTTTAATTTCTTCTTTAACTCCAAATATACGAAGGGCCTGTTTTCATTGACTGAACTCAGCTGAACTGAACTGAACTGAATTGAGCTGAACTGAACTGAGCTGAACTGAACTGAACTGAACTGAACTGAATTTCAACGTAAGAGAACAGACCCGAAGTATAACATACTCCTTTAGTAAACAATCAACCATGACTAATGGTGATGGTACTAAGACTCTTCCTGAAGCCTTCTATACTCTACCAAGGCATCCCTTTTATCATATGCTACCTTCTACTTTATTTCTTATTTTTGCAGCTTTGTTTTACTTGTTTGTATTACTCGGTATTTGGCAAGACACTAGTTTGGTCCTTTTACACCAATGGTGAACCTTTTGCTTATAACATACTCCCTCCATTTTTAAATAATTCGTAGTTGTAAATATGTTTTCAATTTTAGATGGACTTTATAAACCAAACCAAGGAGTCAACTATAAAATATGGATGTAATTAAAAATATTGTATTGATAATGTACTCGTACAGTTTTAAAAAGTTATAAAATCAAATTTTTATACATGGCTAGTCACATTGTGTGGCAGAGGTTACTCGAGTTATTCGGTCAGGGGTTACTTGAGTTCTCCAATCAGAGGTTACTCAAGTTTTTTCCAGTCAGGGTTTACTCGAGTTACCTAATTAGGGGTTACTTGAGTTACCCAATTATAGGTTACTCAGGTTTTTCGGTCAGAGATTACTCGAGGGGGAACTTGGTTAGGGGTTACTCGGTCAAGTACTCGAGTTATTCAGTCAAAGGTTACTCTAGTTACTCGATCAGGGGATACTTGAGGGTTTACTCGAGTTATTCGATTAGTGGTTATTGAGTTACTGGTCATTGGTTACTTCAGGAATTTGATTAGAGTTCACTCGGTTAGGGGTTACCCGGCCACACAAAATCCCCTAAATTTCAAATGTTACAATTACTGATTAAGAAGAAAAAAAAAATTAAAGTGTAAATTGTTTTTAATATGAAGATCAAAGTGGAGTACAAATTAAATTATTGGTAATGAATTTAATATTTTGTGAAAACTCCTGCAGACCAATTATTAATGGTAAGCAGCTTGACTAGAGAAGAATTCTTAAATGACACCATGAGAGCGTGGAAAACACCTCCAAGTAACCGTCGGTAAAACTCCTTAATTTACGCATATACCCCTAATCAACCTCCCGAAATAGCAGTACTCTTCAAGGGTATATTCGTCTCTTCAAAATTTTAAATTCTAACCCAAATACAATTTCAAAATTATCACTGAAAATAACAAGCAACCTAAAACTCCATCTCAACCGTCCATTTATTTACATCCAACGGCACCCGATCGGTGATTGATTAAAAAGGAGGGAAATAATTACAGCCGTCCGATTTAATCCTCTTTCATTTATAAGCCATTAGATGGGAGTTGGATTTTTCTTTTTCTCACCCATTTCTCACTCTCTCTCCTCAGTCCTCACTCATTCACTCTCTCTCTCTCCTCGAACTCTTCAGTTTCATATTCAACTACAGGTATCAATCTACATTATTCATTTGTGTTTGTCATGATTTTTGTTGAATTTTTTTCGAATTTGTGGTTTAGTTTCTGAATCTACTTCAAATTTGATGAGATCTTTGTTTTTTATTTTGATTTTTTTTTTGGTTTTGTTGTTGCGGTTTTGAATAATGGATTAGTTGATGAATTTTAAAGTATCATTTTGATCTTGTTCATTAATCTGCTTCAATTAGGTTTTAATGTTTTGTGTGGATGTCAATTTTGTTTTATTGTGATTTCGATATTTGAATTTGATTATGATTTCGTTACATTTTGTGATGAATTGTGATTTGAAGTTTTAATTTCTAGTTTTGTTCGAAAATTAGGGTTTAATCGTCTTATTTGAGTTCACTTTGCTTAAAATGGTGAATAATCACTGTTGTTTAAGTTGTAGCATAGATCTGGTTGATTAGTAGTGTATGATTTGATTCGATCTAAGTAATTTGAGCAGAAATTGTGTTGTGATGGTTTTCCGAATTCCGAAAATTGTATTGCTAGGTTAGATTTTGTGAATTAATTATATTGATATTGTTGAACTGAACTGATGTGGTTAATATGAAGAGTGAAGGCGTCGAACTAGCAATTAGCGTAGAAATGTAGATTTTAGTGTGTTGATTACTATTGAATTTGTGTGATTTTGATGATATATGGCTTCGTATACTTGGGCCGAGGAGTTTGTAATTTTGATTAGAAGTTTGTGGATATATGTTCACCTAGATCCATTGATTGAGTTGCTTTCGTTATGATATGATCATTTGATTAGAAGTTTGCGTATATATGTTCATACTGTCATTATATGATGCTGTCTTAATGCTAATTGCTATGATCATTCAGTAGTGCCTTTTTTCAGCTTTTTAATATGTTAAGATGTTAGTTTAAGTTTTAGCGAGCATTATTTGCAAGTGTGTGTTGGTGTGATGCTATGATCACTGGAAGATTAATACTGGATCATATGCTATTTTGACTTACATAAGTTGACATCTGTGTTAGTGTTATCTTCACCAGATTGCTTAGTACAGCTATATAGTGGTTGAAGAGACTCGGTTGATTTATTTTGATTTGTTTATTGCTATTATAGTTGCTTACTATTGTGATTAGTATGGGCTTACATTAATTTGCTTTCAGGATGGTCGGAACTTTAACTAATCCAAGTTTTAATGATCCAAGTTTTAATTTAGGAAAAATGAGAGAAATCCTTCACATTCAGGGAGGTCAATGTGGTAACCAGATTGGGTCTAAATTTTGGGAAGTAGTGTGTGATGAGCATGGCATTGACCCCACTGGAAGGTATGTCGGTACATCTGACCTGCAATTGGAGCGTGTCAATGTCTACTACAATGAGGCTTCATGTGGAAGATTTGTTCCCCGTGCCGTGTTGATGGATCTTGAGCCAGGTACCATGGATGCTGTTAGGACTGGTCCATATGGCCAAATCTTCCGCCCTGACAACTTTGTCTTTGGACAATCTGGCGCTGGTAACAACTGGGCTAAGGGTCATTACACCGAGGGTGCTGAACTTATTGACTCTGTTCTTGATGTTGTGAGAAAGGAAGCTGAGAACTGTGACTGCCTTCAAGGTATCTCTTTACTTTGCTGTATGACTGGATGAGGTTATCACTTGCAAATTTTAAGCATTTTTGTGCTTGACTAGTATGGCTTAACTAGATTCGCTTGCTTTCACTTGAATCTCATGGCTTATGAAATAAGAGAAATTCATCCTTGTACTACTCAATATGTATAAATCAAAGTACAAGGCCTACAAGTTGATTAAAAGTCCATTGACCGCTGTTTTGTGCTCTAATGTTGGGATTTGAGCCTAATTTTTCTTCTAATGCAGGATTTCAGGTGTGCCACTCTTTGGGTGGAGGAACGGGTTCTGGTATGGGTACCTTGTTGATCTCAAAGATTAGGGAGGAGTACCCTGACAGGATGATGCTCACCTTCTCTGTTTTCCCATCACCAAAGGTTTCAGACACAGTGGTTGAGCCATACAATGCCACTCTCTCTGTTCACCAACTTGTTGAGAATGCAGATGAGTGTATGGTGTTGGACAATGAAGCACTTTACGATATTTGCTTCAGGACCCTCAAGCTCACTACACCCAGCTGTGAGTATATTCATGTCGCACCTTGTTTTTCTTCCCCTTGTGCTACTGTTTTTTTTGGTTTCTCTAATCAATTCCTGTTATTTGGATGCAGTTGGTGATCTTAACCACTTAATCTCAGCCACAATGAGTGGTGTCACTTGCTGTCTTCGTTTCCCTGGTCAATTGAACTCTGACCTTCGCAAGCTTGCAGTGAACTTGATTCCCTTCCCCCGTCTCCATTTCTTCATGGTTGGATTTGCCCCCTTGACCTCACGTGGCTCCCAGCAGTACCGTGCACTTACTGTCCCTGAGCTTACCCAGCAAATGTGGGATTCCAAGAACATGATGTGTGCTGCTGATCCCAGGCACGGGCGATACCTCACCGCCTCAGCCATGTTCCGTGGCAAGATGTCCACTAAGGAGGTGGATGAACAGATGATCAATGTTCAGAACAAGAACTCATCTTACTTTGTTGAGTGGATCCCTAACAACGTGAAGTCCAGTGTTTGTGACATCCCACCTCGTGGTTTGAGCATGGCCTCAACTTTCATCGGGAACTCAACTTCCATTCAAGAGATGTTCAGGAGAGTAAGCGAGCAGTTCACAGCTATGTTCAGGAGGAAGGCTTTCTTGCATTGGTACACTGGAGAAGGTATGGACGAGATGGAGTTTACCGAGGCAGAGAGCAACATGAACGATCTTGTCTCTGAATACCAGCAATACCAGGATGCTACCGCTGATGAGGAAGAGTACGAGGATGAAGAGGACGAACTAGATCACATGTGAGGAAGAAGAGCTTAATTAAATTGGTCATAAATGTCGATGTGTTTACCCGTGGATGATTTGTGTGTATAAGGAGGGGAGAGTGGTAGAGAGATTGGGGGTGGGCCTGGTGCATAGTATTTGGTCATGTTATATCTTCTAGCATTAAGATTTATGGTATGTAGTCATATTTGATATTAATCATGGTTTGATGTTGCTATGCCCAATTTACTTTCTGGGATTTTATCTGCTCTATACAACCAATTGGTTGTCATATTTTGTATTGTAATGTTGCATTCCTTCTCTTTTTGTTTGGTTAATATTTGCGTGAATTTGAGTCAAGATCTAATAATAATGCTGAATGATTAATGCTCTAAATGAGTGGCATCCATTTAGTTTTTTGGCATTTCCAATCCATTTGTCACTGCAATTATAACAAAAACCAGCAGTTCTGGTGTTCAAATCCTCTGCGTTCATAAATTAAAACTCTGACCTTCTCTAAATGTCAACATGTAATTAAAATCATTTCTATCTTTAGTCATTTATAAGTCTGAAAATTTTCAAAATATGTTATTATGAAACTATAATATTGATTAAGTAGAATGTGTAAGTAGTATAAAATCAGATCGTTAAACAAAATTTACTTGTAAAATCAATTACTATTACACAGCAAATGAAATGGACATGAGGAACAAACAAACATGACCACATAGTTAACAAACCCACATATTGTTGAAATTATGAATTCTAATGGTCTTTTTTAGTACAAATTACGAGCAATATATATATACATATATATATATTTTATACTACCCTTTTTTTTTTTAGTTGCAATATGAAATATTTTATATCTCTCAAATAATACCCCGAAATTGCAACTATAGGAGGTAATAGTCAAAATGTGCAACTGAATATTGAAAAATGTCAAAATATATCAATTAATATGGGAATGAGTGAGTAAAAATTGTGTATTAACACACGTGCACTGGCACAATGTTTCGGCCTTCACAAGTAATTCACTTAGGCCCAGTACATTGGGAAATCATATTTATTCAAAGCCTAAGTTTTGTTAACTACTGATTTTGGGCCATCAGCAAGTAGACGACCTGATATTTTAAATGGCACATAATTTATTTGTTGGATGACCTAGTGGTACGCCAGTATGGGTCACTATTGTGAAGTTAATCTTGTTAGGTGATGTAAACAATCAAACGAGATTTGATCTTATGTCTTGAGTATAATATGATACGAATAATGTTTAATTGGCATCGTAATTATAACTTGGATCTTCTATTTTGTTTTATTGAGTCGTAATAGAAGCAGCAAACTTTTATTAAGAGACCAATAGAGGTTAAAGTAAAGAGTGACATCAAAATGGAAGATCAATTGTGTTTCTGCATTTGATGATAATTTTGTTTTGTAAAATTATTAACGCACCCGGTTTAATCTTTATACACCACCCAACCAATTGAACAACCTAGTTTAGGTAGTGGGTACACATTACATGTCCCCCTACAATTTAACATCTTTTTGAGTTTTTAAGTAAGGTTTCATAAATGTGTCTCTTAATAATACATTGACTTAACTCTTTATAGTGCATAGGGTTGCGCATCGATCCAAAATTTGATCAGACTAGAAGATTCAAATCAATGTTGAATAAATCAAACATATCCAAGCTTATTACTTTCACTAAAAAAAGATGCGAGGAAATAAGTATCTAACATACATTTTCTAAATGGTTACATGGTTGTCTAGATCAAACTAGAATTCCGAAATCATAGTTTTATAAGGATTGAAAACTAAACAAGATTCTCGATCTCATTGTACAAACCTCAGATATTGCACAATCAAGAGCATAGAACATTGCATTGTTATAGACAAAATTTGTTGGTAAGTATTGGCATTTGCATAACTATGTCCCTTTGGTACGGGTAATCAATGGCACGTTAGATTTCTTAGTCTTCCTAGCCAATTCTATACATGAACGTCAAATGTCTTAACCAATCATCGTAAATTTTGAAATTACAAATATTCAATATATTTCGTTTTGCTATGATAAATTCTTTGTATATGATACATACCTATTGTCAATTTTTTTTTCTTAAAAAGAAGTAAAAACAAGATTGGGTTGGGAAAAAAAAAGGGGGGGGGGGGGGAGATGATACATCAACTATATATGCCGACCAAGCATAGTCATGACTCATGACTTCATGAGTAGCTAGGCTTGATCACACACAACAATCGTAATTACATTGTTTTCACCAAAAAAAGTTGGTAAATTACAAAATGTTGAAAAAAAAAATTAAAATGGTCCACATTGATAAAGAATCGATGTAGATTGACATACTTTCCTAGTGGTCTTTTTGACATGACTCTTTACTGCAAATATATAATGTTAAAACTGTGAACATCATGGGCCTATTATGTTATTGGACCATGTATTTGTTAATTCTTGACCACCAAAAATTTGTTTTTTTTATTTTTTTTTAATTTTATTATTTTATAAATAATGAAATTTTAATTTTATTTTTGGTAAGAATTTAACATTTTTTCGTATGATTGGTTGTTTGATTAATTAAAAAAAGTTTTCTGTTTTCTTATTATACTGCAATAATTGTGACAAAATTCATTCATGTCGGAAAAAAAATCTTCTTTAAAGCAACAGAGGTTTTTTTTTTTATTTTTTTTATTTTTTTTTATTTTGGTGTGTGTGTTATTTTTAGAGAGTCACAAGGACAGATGATGAGAACCGATCTCAAGATCTCTTGAAACCGGAAAGAGAGTTCTAACCTATCCCTCACTCTTCGGCAACGGACTATTAATATGGTGTGACATTGTTTAACACAGTTTTTAGCTTTTCTTTAATAAGAATCAGTGAATTGGTATCAAATTTTTTAATCCATACTCCATAGAATAAATACTCGTATATTTTTAAGAGTATTGATTCCACAAGATATATTCCAAATATCAATGCTTTTCTTTTTTGTAATGAGGATAACGTACATATTATTAACATTATACTTTATACTTCCTATAATATATTTTATAATACCACATAAAGGCGTAATGAACTAAAATCGACGAATGAAGCTCATTTGTGTTGCCAATAGGGATTCTAATTCATTATTTCATATTGTGTCGTATCAAATTATCAAAAATTCCCTAAAAGGTGTTTTGTGATATTTCTCCAATCTAGAAAAAAAAAAAATCTCAACTTGTGTCATAAAAAATAAGGTTAAAATTGTGGATTGCTAAATACAGCCAGCTTTTTTTATCAAACCGCCAACAAAAGTGGAGAATGGACAAAATTACCCTTACTCATCCTCACTTTGCTTTCTCTCTCCTAAGGCATCAATCAAGCCTCAAACTCAAACTCAACCACCACAAAAGCAACCACCATTGCCACCCACCACTCACGCCACCACGACCACCGCCCATACCACTACAACCACTGCACCAAGGCACCAAATTGATTTTGAGGCCGAAATCCCGAAAGAACCAACAACAATCATCAACCATCGGACCAACAACAATCATCAGCCATCGGATAAACAACCCACCACCTTCCCACGTCGGCGGGAGGGTGGTGATTTTCTTTTAATGACCAGCACAACCGACGCCCAAAACCGGTCACCCAGAACGGTAACCAGTTTCCAGCGTCGGTTGACCATGGTAACCGACGCTGGAAACCGGTTACCGTCCCCGGTAGCCGGTTTTGGGTGCCGATTGACCATGGTAGACCGACATCCAAAACCAGTTACTGTCTCGGGTGACCGATTTTGCACGCCGATTGACCATGGTGAGCGCCGGAGATTATTAAAAACAAGAACTGAGCAAAGTGACGAAGTGGATTTTCGATTTTGACCACCGTGATGCCGGTTCATCACCTCCAATCCTCACCGTTGTTGTCCTTCCAGGTCCGGTCACCACTTCTCTTCACCTCTGATGTACAACCTCTATTTGAGGTTGATGGTGGTTTGGATGTGGTATTGTGATGAGAGAGAAAAAAAATAAAAGAGAAAGAGGAAGATGGGGTGGGGGTATAGTAAGGGTATTGGTGTCCATTCACCTTAAATGTTAGCGATTTTGATAAAACTTGTTGGCGGTATTTAACACCCCCCTAAAATTTCATAAGTACCTTGAACCACACTCTGAACATGACATGACTTTATAATTTGTTTTTTTTTACTAAAAAAAAAAATTACAAATGGGCTAGACCCTCAATAGATGCTTTAGTTTTGTTAATTTTTAAGATGATAAGAAACAGTTCTAGGAAACCCAAACAAGAAGCAAGAAAGCTCAGTCTACAAAGAAGACTCAAGAATGTTCAATACAAAAACAATTGGTGATAGTAGGGATAACTCCTTTACAATATAAGTAAAACCATATATTCTTTTCTCTAACGTGAAACACCCTCAGATAGGCGATTATGGACTTCAACACAATGCAACATAATTAGTGCTTTATTTGGACCGTACAAGATATGTCACACGCCCCTTCACTTGGACTCACATTTTTTGCACATACGCTTGAATTTGTCCACCTATATTCTTTGGAAGCACCAAACACACACGTTCAACAATTGTGTTGTTGTAAAAGTGTACTTTAATTGTCTATTTGTCTAAGTAATCTTGATGACTTATGCCAACCCTTGAATATTATCTCAAGAGTTTGGTGGATTTGGTGGTCATAACATATCTTGCATGATTAAATTAACATTTCATTTACCAATTCCAAAGCTAAGGAAAATTATTATATTCTTGTATTTTTTTTTATAAAAAAAAAAAAAAAAAAAACAAACAAACTATATCCTTATTGTATCATACTTGTATATTGCCTTAATTATCATATAGCAAGAAGCAACGTTTGAAATAGAGGTGTGAAATTGTAAGTTTTTTCTTTGAGGTTGTTAGCCTCTAATATGACCAATTGTTGTCATGTTATGGTAGAACTAACAACATTATTCTACTATGGTATGTATGAGTCTATTCTATTACAGACCGTCAAACTTACTAACTGTTTGCATTTATTCAATTAGTTTCCATTACAAAAAGTTGAAGTCAAAAAGATGATCATATAATTAATAAATATATGAACTATTATTCTATAAATAATTAGTCATCCTCTTATTGTAGTGTGCTGGCATGTTTTGGATATATTTTTCAATAACATCCTCTTTATTTTTATTGTTGCATTCCCGTTCTTTAAGGTATGACTATTTTTTAAGTTTTGATCGAGTAAAGTTAATGAAAATTGGGTGAAAATAAAAATAATGTATAGATGTCTGAAGTGAGAGTAAAGTAGTGGACATTTTTTTAGTCCATATAACACG